AACAAGAAATTCCAGCTGATTAGGCTTATATGGGTAAATATATGGTTTTTTAAAGGTATCAACAAAAACTGATTTATGGGAATCTAAAGGATTTCATCAAAAAATTAGTATGTTCATTTTCTTAATGTTTGTATATTATATATATATATATATATATATATATATATATATATTTGAACTTACCAATTACTAATGCCTGATTAATAATTGATTCTGCATTTTGATTTACATTAATATTAGCACGTAACCTGCTGTGAAAATTTTCAACATAATATTCATTGAAATTAACAAGATGATTCTCCAACACATTTGCAAAAGGATGTTGATTTTCTTTCCAGTATATATAATCTGAAATAAATGCCAGTATAATCTTATTATAATTTTTTCTTTTCCACCTAAGAGCAAAAGTCCAGATTCTAAATAATGTTTCTAAATATTCTTCAAATTTACCAGAATGAAAAAGAATCACATAAATATCTAGAGTTGCAGGGATTATATTATCTAAAAGGTCAAGTGCCATTCTATATTCCACATCTTTGCTATTTCCAAATTTATGCATAATAATTTTGGAGATTTTTTTCCAGCCCTTAGTAGCTAATTCCAATAACAAATTGATTCTCCATGGCTTAGGTTTTTTTGCTAATACTTTGGAATTACCAAAAACATAATGGAACATTTTTTCAAAAAAATTATAATGGACAAGCAATGTTTGCTCACATGAATTTAAAGAGACATGAAGAGGTCCTAAAAGAGGTACAAAATTTTGCATAATTTTTGGAATATTTGTTTCACCTTGATTATTCAACAGAGTAATGGCTTTTTGAATGAACAATTGATCAGGAAAATCTGCCACAACAGGTATGACATTCTGAAGGAGATATTCTGATAACTCAAAATATCTGTAATCATTGAAGCGGCTTCAATATAATCTTCTAAAGAATGTAAACTTCTTTCTTGCAAGCCTAAATTCTAACATCCTTCATTGATCTTTCTTCATGTTTTCCTTTAATAGCATCATTATATACATGTATACTAAGAAGATCATCATTGTCAAAAGAATTAAATATATGTATCTTTGGCGATCCATTCATTTTTTCTGGATTGGTAACTAATATCAAAGGTCCCTTTATATTTATTAATAAGATAATGTTGGATTTTATGGGCTTCTATATTATTAGGATTATGTATTGAAACTTGTTCATTCATTGCTGATACTGGATGGCATTCAACTTTTTTAGCTATACAACTTGCAAAATGTTTTACTGTTGATAAAAATGTAGCATCTGGCCTTCTTTTTTCATGAATATCATGAAAATCATCAATATTAAATATAAACAAATGATGTATCTAAAATTATAAATAAATTAATATTTAACAAAAGTATATATGAATAATTAACAACTTTATATATGGGACATGTCACAGCAAAAACCACCTCTCAGAAAAATAGATTATTTTGAGTAAACACATGTTCAAAATTTG